GTTTCTGGCAGCACTGCCAAGTTTTGGTGTTGCCACTCCCAGCCCTGCAGCACTCCCGGCCCAGCCACCCACCCGCACAGGGCAACACCCCCGGGGTGCCCTGCCCAGCCCAGCCCTGGCTCATCCCCCAGCTCTGCATTGCTGTTGGTAGGAGCCCCTGCCCTGGCCTGCTGATCCGGAGCGTGGCAGGGTGAGGGGCAGCTTCCCCACCCCCCCATGCCCTTCAGGAGCTGCAAATGGCTTTGGGGCCTCCCCCAGTGCCCAGGGATGGTGGCTCCAGGCTGAGGGGCCCCCTGCAGTGGTGGTGCATGGTGCTGGGCCGCAGGGAGCAGGCTGGCACTAAGGGCTGAGTCCCCCGGGCCCCTGGAAACCAGAGCAGGCATACGCACACCCCCACCCCCACCTCCTTGACCCTGGAAGCCTGAGTACAAGCACATGCGTGCACACAACTCTGCAGCTGCCTGTTCCCACTGGGCACCAGCCCCAGGCCCAGGCAGTGCCTGGAGGCAGCGTGCAGCACGGTGCAACCACGGGAGGCCCATGGACCAAGCTGGGGTAGGTTTATTTCAGGAGAGGCCAGCAGCACCATGCCAGGCCTGGGCCTTCACATCCAGCCCCGGGTGGGTTGTGGCCCCCAGGGACAGCTACGGAGCGCCAGTGAGCCCAGACCGCCGGGGCCACCCACAGCCCTCCCAGGGTGATGTCCTGGCAGCCCCAGGCCAGCAGCTTTGCAGGAGCAGCCCCAGCTGGACACATGCAGGGAGCCCAGCCTGCTCCTGCGGTCTCCTGTGAGCCGAGGGCGCCAGGCTGTCACTTGTGCCCTAAGGGAGGTGCAGCTGCCCTGCTCCTTGCTCCAGCCTCTGCTCAGGTGGCAGGGCCAGGGACCAGGCAGCAGCCTTGGCGCCCGCAGCCCCTTCTGGCTCTGCGGGGGGCACTAGCTGGCAGCCCCAGCCCCCTGGCCGCAGCCAGGGACTGTCCCCACAGCTTAGGCCGGAGCTCCACGCTCAGATCTTGGAGGACTCGACCTGCTGGATCCAGGGCGAGTCGGGGTCGGGGTCATGGGGCTCGGCCCGCAGGGCCCACAGCTCGCGCTCCAGGGCCTGGCTGCGGTGGTACATGTCCATGTAGCCGGCTTGGAGCTCCCGCTGGTAGCGCAGCACCTTCTCCTTCTCCTCCTGCCATGTCTTGCGCTCCAGCTCGAAGTCCATGGCCTGCAGCTGGCCCTGGCGTCGCTCCTGCAGCAGCTCTTCCCACAGCCACTCCAGCTGGCGCTCCAGGGGCTCCACGCCCTCCCCGACCAGGCCCCGGCACTTGGAGTCGTCCGTCTCGCAGCCAGACAGGTCCTGGCACAGGGGCATGGGGGCATCCCCGCCAGGCTCCGGGGAGCCAGGGAAGGCATCGGCCAGCTGTGCCAGCTGGGAGTCGCGGGCCTGCACCTCGGCTCTGGCCTCCCGCAGCTGTGTCTTCAGGCTGAGGATCTCGCTGAGCTTCTGGGCTATCTCCTCCTGCGAGTCCCGCAGCTGCTGCTTGAGCAGGGAGATCTCAGCTGCCTTCTGGCAAACCTGCAGGAGCACGAGGCGCTGGGCACAGGGCCGGGACCCAGCCCCGGAGGCCCTCATCAAAGCCTTCCCCCCCCCGGCCACAGGTATGGGGGGTTCAAGGCCTTGTGTCCCCAGCCTCCCTGGTCACAGCCACCCAGTGCTGAGCCCTATGCAGGAGGCCAGAAGGATGCGGGTGGCTGTGGGTTCCTGCCCACGGGTGCACAGTGGGCGAACCAGCGATGCAGCCATGCTGTGCCTGGCTGCACAGAGCAGGTCTGCACCATGCGCACTGCAGTCAGCCGCCCGAGGCCGGGAGGGCAGGGGCTGCAGCTGGGACCGTGTGGGTGCAGGGGCTGTGGCCAGGCCCCTCCATGCTCACCTCCCACTTGGCCTCCTCCAGCTTGGGGCTGGCGCGGTCGGGTGGCAGCGGGCGCAGCCGCAGCTCCTCACTCTGGCACTGGTGCAGGCTCAGCTCCTCCTGCAGTCGCTTCTTCTCCTGCTGCGCCTTGTAGAGCTGCAGCTGCAGAGCCCGCTGGCTGCGCTGCGCCTGCTGCGTCACCTGCTGCAGCTTGGCCACGTACATCTGCTTCAGCTCATCCAGCTCGTCCATCCACAGCCGCTGCTTGTCCTCAAACACCTGCCAGCACGTGGCACTGGGTGCTGGCAGCCAGGGGAGGTCTGCCAGCCCAGCCCAGCCCCTTCAGCAGCCCCGAGACCCCACCCCTGCCCCCATGGGTGTAAGGACCCCAGAGCCCCTCCCAGGCCACAGGCACCCTCGCAGGGGGGCTCAGCCAGCGCGGCAGGGCTGTGGCGGTCCCCTGCTGCGCCCCCCCCCCCCC